TAGCTGCAATCTGCTCCATAGCTGCTCTTTCAGGGAGCGCAGTCTCCATAAACACTAGAGACCAAATTCGGGCACTTATGTAGAAGGACCCGGCTACCCAATATTTGGTCGATCTCATCAAGCAGGGTAAAACTCAACAGTTCTGGCTCGATGGGGAACTAGTGAAGACAAAGGGAGACCGCCTATATGTTCCTAAGGGCGGAGATTTGAGGAAATCACTAATTACAGAATGTGATGACACAATTTGGGCAGGGCATCCCGGAGAGGAACACACTTGTACACTACTGCAACGTGCATACTACTGGCTTCAAATGCGGGACGACATTGTAACATATGTAAAAACCTATCTTATTTGTCAGCAAAATAAGGTAGATCATCAGAAAAAGGCGGGCTTGCTGGAGCCCCTTTCTGTCCTAACCCGACCATTCAGAAGTGTATCGACGGATTACATTATTGGGTTGCCAAAAGTTGAGGATTTTGACACTATCATTGTCGTGGTGGACTGCCTATCAAAATATACAACTTTCATTACAGCGCCTAAGTATATATCTGCGAAAGAGATAGCCCAACTCTTCTTCAAACATATTTTCAAATACTGGGGCTGCCTAAGGACATCGTCAGTGATCGAGATCCTCGTTTTACTGGCATATTTTGGACTGAGTTGTTCAAACTTCTTGGTTCAACTTTGAGCATGAGTTCTAGTTTTCACCCACAATCTGACGGACAGACGGAGTGCTTCAATTCTATGCTAGAAGAATATCTTTGGCACTTTATCTCTACTTCGCAGAAAAATTGGGTAGAACTTTTGGATGCGGCCCAAATTTGTTTCAATGCCCAAAAGAGCTCTTTTACCAATAAGAGTCCTTTTGAGATTGTTACTAGCCAGCAACCGCTACTCCCTCATACAGTGGATATCGAATGAAGTACCAAGTCCTCTCAAGCAGAGAACTTTTCTCAAGAGTGGAAACGAAATATTGAAATTGCTCGGAGTTATCTTGAGAAAGCTCAAAAACGGTATAAAAATGCTGCAGATCTAAAGCATCGTTTCATTGAATTCAATGTTGGAGATCTGGTAATGGTTAAGCTTCTTGACAGAAATGTTTACAAATCAACAAGAGGAAATGACTCAAGATTGTCGCCAAAATACATTGGACCATTACCTATCGTGAAAAGGATTGGAAGAGTTGCATACAGAGTTGAACTCCCTTCATGGTGTAAAATCCACAATGTCCTTCATGTTAGTGTGTTGAATCCATACTTTGCGGATTAGGAGGACGTATCTAGAAATGAGCCAAAGCGACCTGTGTTTGAACTAAAGAAAGCTGGAAAGAAGGTTGCTGAAACTATTCTTAACCATCGAATCACTCGAGCTTCTAGAAAAGATCATCAGGAGTACTTGGTCAAATGGATGTGATGCAGCAGCGAGGATAATACTTGGGAAAGAGAAAAAGATCTCGGAGCCTTCAAACCATTAATTGAAGCATATCATGCATTGATGACACCGAGGACGTCGACAAAACAAATGGGGGAGAATGTCAAGGAC